CAGATGAGAATGACCCAGGCTGGGATGGAACACAACACAGGGCAGTCACGTGGGGCAGTGGGAGAAGTCTGTCAGAGCCCCGGAACCTCCAGCTCCAGGGAACTGGGCGCTTTCAACTTCGGACTGAGATAAACCCCCGTTTGGTTGAGGGTTGGGCATGTTTGTTTTTGGAGATGGGGTCTTGCTCTGTTGTCCTGTCAGGTCTTGAACTGCAGATCCTCCTGCCTCTACCTGTGTGCTGGGACGGCGGGTGTGCCACACTGTGCCAGGCGCATTAGTACATTCCTCTTGATGATGTCATGTCTTTGCATAGCTGGGTTTGGAGAGATTGCTGTGATACCAAGTGAGTGAAAGCCAGTGAGGGGTGAGAACAGGCCCAGTGTGATGCGTGGGCCTCTTTTTTTCCACATGGGGGAAAGCTGTGCTGTGCCCAGTATGCCGCTATCTCACTCTGCAATCCTGCCTGGCCTGGAACTCACCATGTAGACTAGGAAGGCTTTGAACTTGCAGTGATTCCCCTGCCTCTGCTTCAGAGCATGCTGGGATTACATGTGTGTATCGCCACCCCCAATTTTAGAAATGTTTAATTACCAAGTTTTTTTTTTTTCCAGACAGTGTTTCATATACCCCAGGCTGGCCCTGAACTTGCTATGTAGCTGAGGCTGGATAACTCCCATCTGCCTCCATCTCCCATGTGCTTGGATCATATGTGTCTGCCCCCACACCTTGCCCAAGTTCTATTTTTTTTTTTTTCTTTGCAGCACTGAAGATAGGATCCAGAGCCTCATGCATGCAAGGCAAGTGCTTGCCCACTGGGCTGCACTCCTAGCCCCTTCCTTTAATACATGTGCGTCATTATTATTTATTTATTTATTTATTTATTTATTTATTTATTTATTTATTTTGTGGCCAGCTATGGCGTTACAAGAATGTAGTTTTTTTAGTGGTAAAATTCACATAAACTGTTTCAAAATGAGCAACTCAACTTATCCTGTGCGTTCACAGAGATGTACAACCACTGCACTCCTTAATATTTTTTTTGATCTCTTTGAGACAGGATTTTCCTATAGCCCCAGCTGGCCTGGAACTCACTATGTAGACCAGGCTGGCCTTGAACTCACAGAGCTCCGCCTGCCTCTGCCTCCCTAGTGCTGGGACTAAAGGCGTGTGCCACCACACTTAGCTTGCACTCCTTAATTCTAAAGCTTTGCTTTGGTGCTGAAGGAAACTTCACTCCCATCGAGAAGTCACTCTCCACGCTCTGTCTTCCAGCCCCACAGGCAGCCAAGGGATCTCCTACTTTTGTGAGCTCACCTGCTCTGAATAAGTCATTCAAATGCCCTATCCAGCCCATGCTCCTTTCTGTAGGACCCCTGTCACTTTCCTACTTTCTTTGAGGGTCACCCACGTGGCATACATCAGAACTTCACTCTTACAAGTTTTTAAAAATTCATTGTGTATGTGTTAATCTGACATGCACACTGTGGCACCTGTGTGGAGCTCAGAGGACAACTTTTGGGGGTCAGGTTTCTCTCTCCATTTTGTTTCTGATGCAGGCTCTCGTTTCTGTGCTATGTATTCTAGATTAGCTGACCCAGGAGCTTCTGGGTGAGTCTCCTGTCTCTGCCTCCCACTTGCTGGGACTGTAGATGCTCAACTACCACTTTGGGCTTTTTACATTTTTTCTGGGGGATCTAACTCTGGTTGTCAGGCTTGTACAACTAGCGCTTTTAACCCTGAGCCTCCATTCTTCATGAATTTCACTTTTAGTAATTGCACAGTATTCCTCTGTGTAAATATGCCGCAGCTGGTTTGTCTAGCACGCACCAATGCGCACGGGTTCTTTCCACTCCCCGCTACCATAAACAACACGGATGTGGTCATCGCTAGACACGTTTTTGTTTGAAGACTTGTTTTCAATTCTTTTGAGTATCCACCTAAAATTGGAACTGCTGGGCCACCCAGCAATTTTTCGGAGGAACTGCCAGGCTCTTTTCTGACAGTCTCTTAAGAATTGTGTGGCCCTCAGTGGCTGTGTGCCTTCTGAGTTTTCCGTTACTGACAATCAGTCCACCCTAGGACTGGGAGAAGGGAAGGAAGATGGAAAACAGCTAGTGAGTCAGCCCCTGTGGGGGGATCTCTCTCAGAGTTACACACACACACACACACACACACACACACACACACACACATCAGACAAGCAAGCACTCTACCTACTGAGCTGCATCTCTAGCCCAGAGATGAAGTTTGTAAGGAGCGGCTTACAGTGGACTCCCAGAGGCAGGGATGCAGGGGAGGTGGAAAGGAGGGTCACCGTGCGTGGTTATAGCTCCACTCTGCATGGCGCCTCCTCCACTAGACTGCCAGCTCTTGGGGCAGACAAGCCGGCTGTAGTTCAGGGGTTGTGTCTCTGGGGCACAAAATGAATGAAGTCCTGCAGAAGAGCGTGGGAAAGAGAACTAGGATCCCAGGCCAAAAGGGGCGGTGTGCTCAGAGAGAGGCATGTTTGTGTAAACAGAAAGTATTTGCTTGACAAAGATGGAGAAGTGGGGAGTCAAGGGGGTGCGGGTGGGCTTTGACCTCTCCCCCAGGGGCTTCTAGACACCCACTCCCAGGCCTCCCCCAAGCTAGCTCTTTAGAAACCCTGCCATGAGCAAGCTATGTTCTTTTAGAAATACCACTCAAAGCATACGGGGGATTCTCAAAGACAGCCAGGCAAGTTGAGGCAAGAAGGAACTGCAGTCTGGGGCTGGGGGGGAGGCAGTGGGTACTTCAAGAAGGTTCTCCAGTTGCACCTTCCTGGGACTCTAAGATTAACTGAGTTGGTCTCACCCCAGAGCTGTGATTGTGTGGGGATCCAGAGGTGGAGAAGAACACACTCCCAGGATACATGGGTCATCCACCTGGATATGCTATGAGGGCGTCTCGTGTAGGTAGGACCCTAATTTCAGAATCATTACAGATAGGCATTGGTAGGGTGAGTGGTGGGGACTTGCAAATATGAGGCAGCACCTCCATACCCTCTCTCCTGGGCAGTAAGAAGCCCCCTCTACATTCATGCCTTTGGGTGCATCTCCTGGAAACTTTCAAGCATGAATTCTGCTGTGTATTAGTGGCAGTGGGATCTGGTCCTGTTGATTTCCTCCTGCCCACGTGGAGCATGTGACTACACAGGCCTTATCTCAGATGCATTCATGTTGGAGGAATCCTCAGGACAGCCATCTCCCAAGGCTGGTACATAAACTTGTATACTATTTTCCTTCCAATCTGTCCACTTTTCCTCTGACCTACAGTGTACTGCAAAGGAACTTCGCCTTCCTACAGATCAACCTCAGTTGCTAGCATGTGCTCTCCCTCAATCCCAGACGGTCCAGACCCTACCTTCCTGTGAAGTTCTAGCTGGCAACTTTGCTTCCCTTTTACAGGTGAGCAAACTGTGGGCTAGACTGGGCTAAGCCTAATGAAGCTGTGGGAGAGAGAGGAGTCCAAGGCAGCCCCACTGTGATCATCTGTGTCCCTGCAGCCCGGAGCTGACTGTTTTGCTGTCCCTGGGCTCTGGTTCCCATATGGAGCCCACAGCAGACACTCCATAAATATTTGTAGAGTGAAGCACACAGATGATTAAATAAAAGAAATTGGAGTGTTTTATTGCTTGACTGCTACGGGCTGTTAGTCACCCCCTCCCTTCCCTGGGTGCTGAGCTGATGAGATGTGACTACGAACTTTGGGGAGAAAGGCACCTCAGGCTGAACCCCAGAAACACATGACTCATTTTCTGTTGATTCACTTTTTTTCCTCATCACAATAATGGCTATGTTTACTTTCAAGTTATTTTTATACATTCAGAAACCCCAATTATTCTTAAAGTGTTAGCTTAAACATTAATTACATTCGGGCTTTAAGTAGCTATTTGCTGCCTTGGGCTCAGAACAGTTTTGATGTCAAGATTCTGGGGGAGAAGGAAGGCCTGCCTATGGCTCCCAGCCCCTACCCCCAAGCTAGCAGGTGGGAAAGCCTCATGGGAGGTGGGGCGGGGAGAAGGGGCTCGGTGGCCAGCTGGGACCTGGGGCAGGCAGGCTCTGGCAAGCGGCTCTCCTACAGTAACTATTTACAACACCACCCTCCTCTCCTCCCTCCAGCCTATTATTCATTCGGTGCTTTGGTGAAGAATAGCTCACGCGCCTTCCACCTCTACAGAGCTGTCTTCCGGAGGCGGGGAATTTTCCCCCAAGGTGGACAGGTGGCGGGCCCCCTTTTCCAACCATTGGTTCTATCTGTAAAAAGTCACTATATTCTGTTAGGAAAGGACTTTCTATTTGGAACGGAGTGATTCAATTTTTGTTTAATTTTTGAAACAAGGTCTCACTTAGCAGCCCAGGTGGTCTCGAACTCTCTACCCCAGCCTCTGTGCTGGAATTACAGCACTGAGCTACCACCACACCCCTGCTGGGTGATTAAAATGTAAAAGAACCAGTTACTTCCTAAGAGCAGGGATCGGTGAAAAAGCCAGACTTGCTTGAATCTACCAGGAAGGAAGAAAACCGATTCCCAAGATTAGGTGCTGGGTAACTCTTTGATATAAACATAATGCTTTTGAAATCTTGAGATTAATAATAATTACAAAAAAGAAATAGAGGAAGAGATTAGTGGCCGCCAGTGTCTAAGGGCACGATTACAAAAGGGCCCCAGGAAGGCATAGAATGTTCTGTATTTGACTGGTGTTGGGTACTTAGTACCAACTTAGTACTTGCTACCGAGGTCGAGCAGAACCTGGGACGTCTGAGCAAGCTCGGCCGGTGCTGGGATCTAAGCACCTGTCCGGGTTGTGAGACTACTTCTTTATTTCTTTGCTGTGTTTCGCCAGGAGACAGCGCGGCGGGGAGGGCGGGAAGCAGGCGGGTCGGGGCGCACACCCGCAGAGCTCGGGGACCCGGCGCCCAGCAGGCCAGCGCGGGGGGCGGGGCCGGGGCGGGCCGCGAGTCGGAAGTGACGTCAGCAGGCGGGGCGCTCACCTGGGCACCTGGGCGGTCGGGGCTGCGCCGGGCGGCGGAGAGTCGCGCGATGGAGGCCGAGGACCGGGGCCCGTGGGTCCTGGGGCTGCTGCGCACGTTCGCCGCGGACGAGTTCGCGGGCTGGGAGAAGGTGGGCTCGGGCGGCTTCGGCCAGGTGTACAAGGTGCGGCACGTCCACTGGAAGACGTGGCTCGCGATCAAGTGCTCGCCCAGCCTGCACGTCGACGACAGGTCAGCGGCCGGGCGGGGCCGGGGTGCGGGCGGCACCGGGGACTGCGCTCCAGGCGGGGATCCCGGGACCCGGCGGCCGTGACCCGGGACCGGAGGGTGCGCGCGCTCCGGGAGCCCTGGGTCCATTGCGCTCCGGGCCGGACTGTGGCTCCGAGGGCTCCTCGCGCTCTGCGCTTGCGGGAGTCGTGGTCCGGCGCTCAGGGACCCCACGCGGCCCTTTGCGGTCCCGGACCCGCGCGGCCCGGGGCGTCGGGGATCCCAAGCCCGCCGTGCGCGCTGCGTCCGCGGCCCTCGGAGCGCGTGGAGCCTGCCCGGGACCCACCTGGGCGCTGCGGTTTGCGCCCGGCTTAGAGAAATTGCCGTGTGGGCCCCTGGGCTTTGTGGGTGAGTTAAGACTCCGTTCCACTTACTCAGTAATTTGCGTTGGAGCACAAATTGGTGTAAGACGGTAATTATTTCGGTCGGAAGCACCGGCTTGGTGAGGGCGAGGCGTCCGCGGTGCCCCGCGGTTCCAGGGCCCCGGCCCGGTGATGGGGTCCTGGTGGGGCCCGGGATCCGGTTCCGCGCACCCTGGACCTCTGTCCCTCCCAGCAGAGCCTGGAAGGATGCTAGAGGCCCTGGTAAACTCTGCGGTGATTGTGGTCTGGGGGCAGAGAACGGAGCAGATTCTAGAAAACATCCTCCCCAGATTGCTTTGTTTACAGTTGCATTGTGATAGTTTGTATCTGAGCCTCAGATTGGCATTTAAATGCCTCATCCTTTACCCAAGTTGCCATGAAAGTGGCGTTGGCCGTTTACCCTGAGGTTCGCCTTAAACCCGGTTCAGCCATGACTGCTTGAGAGACCTACCTGGTTGAAGTCATAGGGACGGGATGGTGCCCATGCCTGTGTCTGTCTGGGTGGCAGTAAGGGGGGTGTTCTGAGGATAGGATCTGGTCTCCTCACTTCCTCACATCTCGTTCCGGGCCTGGAGACTCCATTCAGAGTTATCAGGAGGTTTTGTTGTTTGCTTGCTCTTTCTTTCCTATGATGTAAGGTGGAAACCGAGCTGGGAACAGTGTCAATCCCCACCACCTCTGGGCGCGTGGCCTGCTAGGCCAGGGTAAACCTAGCACCCCTCCCCCACTGAGAGGAGCCTGGTAGCCCTTCTGGCCTGGAGGGGCGCTGTGGTTATTTTGATGACCGAGGTGCTGTGGTTATTTTGATGAACTCCAAACTTTTTTGGATAGCAGCCAACACTCAGCTTCTCAAAGGTAAAAACTCCAAAGGGGCATTTTTACGCCCTTGAGGACTTAGTGTGATTGAGTTTTCTAGACAGAGTGAGTTACTCACCAGCAAAGACTGGAACCCAGATGTCCAGTATTGGAAAGTAAAGCAGGCGCCACCTACCCCCAGGCAGCTCAGCTTGGAGTCGCCTAACAGCCACCAGTTCTGTTTTTTTTTGGGGGGGGGCGGTAACCAAGTCACTGACCTTCCTGCCCTGTCTGAAGCAGGTAGCGTGTTGGGGAGGTCGAGGTCAGCAGCAGCCAGCCGGAAATTCTTGGCTGCCAGGTCCGTTGCTATTTTGCACTCAGGCCTCCTTTAATTAAGCCCCTGCTGTGTTAGAGAGCTCTGTTAGTTCCCAGCCCAGGTCTGCTTAGGAAGTCACCTGGTCCTGCCTGCCTGAGGGGCCTGATGACCCGCAGGCTGACCGGCAGGTTGATGGGGTTGCTTCTAAACCTTGAACCAGCTGTTGCAGTAGGCGGAGTCTGCAGACTTTTCCTGGCTGTTTTGATGTGCTTGCCTGGCTACCAGGCACTGCCTAGAGGAAGGAACAGTTTCCTAGAGTGTTTGTGTTCCGCCTCCAGCCTGAAGCAGAATTTTATTTGCCGGTTCTGACGCTCATAAATAAAATAATTTTAAAATGGACTCAAAAGGAAACTAAAGGATCATTTTATTGGGGGGTCAGGAGGCAATCGATCTTGGCAGCTGACAGGAAGAGGCTTAAAAGGCAGAAAGTCCTGTTTTCTGAGTTAGAGGTGAGGGAGACTGGCAAGCTCAACCTGGAGCTCTTCCAGGCCCTGCATGGGGCCCTCCAGCACATGCACGGGGAAGAACAACAGGGTCTCCAGGGAGAGAGAGAGGAGAGAGAGAATGAATTTCCAGAGTGCCAGGGCAAGCAGGCTTAGGATTTGGGCCAGTACTCCCCCAAAAGGAAGACCGGAAGAGGGAAAAGCAAACAGGTAGAACAGACAGGTTAGTGAGATCCTGCCTGGCTTGGGGGAGGGTCTTCTGGAGTAAATACATACTCTGAGGGAATGCCTGTCGGCCCATCTTTAAAATATTTTATCATTTGTATTTTATGTGTATTAGTATATTGCCTACATGTATATAAGTGCACCCATGTCGTGCAATGCCCAAGGAGGTCAGAAGAAGGTGTTGGATCACCCGGAACTGGAGTTAAGGATAGTTGTGAGCTGCCACATGGGTGCTGGGATTGGAACCCAGCAGTTGTCACTTATGTTAAGCCAGTGCTCTTAACCGCTGAGCCGTCTCCAGCCCCTTCCTCCCATCTTAACATGCATTCAGGTGTATCATGTTCCTTGAAGTTAAAGCTTTTGAGGGATGTTCCCCTGTTCAGCTGTTGGACAGGCCCAATTGGATTAACTGAAGGGAGGGGCAATAGTGTGTCTTCCAGTTTTGTGATCTTTGGGGCAGGTGGGAATGTCATCTCTCTCTCATCATGAAGCCCCTTCATGAACACAGAAGGCCACAAATGGCTAAAGCTTAGAGAATAAGAGTCTGTAGTCTGTAGAGTGTGGGTCCTTGGGCAGGACTCCTGTATTAAACTCTGCCCACCCAGCGCTCAGGGACCATTTCGGAAGAGGGTGCAGAAAGATTGTACGAGCCAGGGGAGGAGGTGCAGGACCATATGGAAACAGAGTCCTCCAGGGTCCTGGGACCCTACTCCTATGAATCTATAGCAGTGGTGTCAGCATACACCAGACCCATGCAAACTCTAGCAGACAAAAACCCAGCATAGCCTGGGGAAATGGGCAGCAGGCCTTAGTCTTAGCCGAGGAACTATTGGCAGCTGGTAACTGCTGGGTGAGGGAGAGTTGATCTTCTTTAAGGGAGAGATAGGCTGACTTGACCCCAGTGGATGATCTTGCACTGAGGGATGTCTGGGGACACTAACTTGACTTGATAGACCTTAACATAAATGACAGAATGCATGAAATCTGGTGGGGGGCAGGGAGGGTGTGGGGGCTCATGTGGTGGCATAAAGATGACTAAGATGTTTTGTATTAAATACACAAAACTTCAATTAAAAAAAAAAGTCACATCTCTACCCAAAGCCAGAGGTAGAACTCGGGTTCCATTCTTTTGACCAGAAATCATATAACCATAGATTTAAAAGAGTTAATAGTAAATCCGTAAGACAGTCATACTTGACTAGGTAGAAAGAGCCTCCTGTTGATGCGCCACAGAAAGCACTCCCCTGCCTGTCCTTCTGAGGGACGGCACCCTCCTCACTCCTAAGGAGGGATGGTTGTGATACATCCACTTTTTTTTTTTTTTTTTTTTTTTGTCTTTTTGAGGCAGGGTCTCCCTGTAGCTGCAGCTGGCCTGGATTCTCTGTGGAGACCAGGCTGGCCTCACAGTCACAGAGATCCTGCCTCTGCCCCGAGTGCTGGAATTAAAGGTATGCGTCACCACACCTGGCTGATACATCCCCTTTCTTAACAATTAGTGTGTTGCCAGGACCGTGGAGGTGGTCCAAAGCTTATCATGAGTGGTGCGTTCTCAGCAGCCTCCGAACTTGCTAACATCTACCTCTGTTGAGTGGTCTTTGCCCTTTCTTGGGCATCTGGGATCACTTATGGCCTTGACTTGCTATGTAGGGGGTCATCTTAGGCACAGCTAGGGGCAAGGCCCATTTTCATTGACCAGGGCTGCTTACCCCTCTAGATAGGCAAGGGGTCTTTTGGTCCCCAGCAGCCACCCAGGCCCTAGCCTTTACCTGCCTTTGAGCCTCTGAAGGTGAGGGTTTATCAGGCCTTGGCATCCACACAGGCCTCCTGAGAAATGTCTTCTATGGGTGGGACACTTAAGAACTCACCCCTCCATTGATCTGAGGTTTCTCCTTTGTGGGACTAGTTGTCTTGGGAGGGTCTTGGTGTCTGGCTTTGGAGAGAGGACTGTCCTTCCTGGCAGGCTTTCATTGGGAGGTCACAGGTGCAGAGGGTCAGGACTCATATATTCTTAGCAGGCAGGCAGGAACAAAGTGGCCCAAAGGCTCCATGCCTCTCTCCCTGCTCCCAGACAAGAAAAACTCTTGAACAAAAGTCTTTGGTGCAGGCATCCATCCTGGCAGTGCTAATAGCGCTGGGCCCTGGCTAGTCAGGGCGAGCCCGAGCAAACCCTGGGTTTGTAACTGCGGAGCTGACAACTGAACAAGCCCGATTCTTGTCAGTTTTAAAAATAGCAGTGTGGGAACCCCTCCGAGGCTCCTGGGAACATAATTGGATTGGTGTGTAGAGAGGACTAGCGGAGAGGCGACCAGCTTGGGAGTGATGAAACGTTTTTCTGGCTGCCTGCTGTCGCCCATAGATGCTTCCCTGGTTCCCTGGCAGCTGTTACTGACCTCCCTCCCCTCCCTCCTCTCCCTCTCCTCCCTCCCCTCCCTCCTCTCCCCTCCTGCACTTTTCTAACCAACAGGCTCATTCAGGGCTGGTCTTCGTTCTTTCCCACTTCCCATAATGGAACCCTCAGTTTCTTGTCATCGGGGTCTTTGGAATTTCTTGCTGAGCTGGGAGAAGAGCAGTGGTATAGCCTCTCAGATCATTCCTTCCAGAAACAATGGGTGACAGCCACCCTATTTCTCCTCACTCTAGTTCCCTCTCTGTGCGGGAGACTGTATTTCACTAGTTGTAATGAGAGGAAGAAAGAGAGAGAGAGGAGAGAGAGAGAGAGAGAGAGAGAGAGAGAGAGAGAGAGAGAGAAGTGGAATTAATGTAAAAGCTCCTGAAAGAGCCTTAGACTGTAGTCCCAGTACTCAGGAGGCTGAGGCAGGGGGATTTCTGTGATTGAGACCAGCCTGGGCTGCATAGTGAGTTCTAAGCCAACTTGGGCCACAGAGTAAGACCTTATCTCAAAACTGGGTGGTGCTGGGGGATTGGGAAGAGCAATGATTAAGTACTTGTGAGACTCTGTGTTCAACTTCCAGCACCAGAAAGAGAAAGGTGCCTTGAGAAATCGTAACCGAACTTGGTCCTGTTTGCGCACAGATTTCTAAATGGAACTGAAAAGGGAAGGGGAGGGTGGCTGGGCTGCTATTTTTCCTTCAGCTCAGAGGCTGAATTAACACCCCGTCCCAGGGGCAAAGGAGACACTAGCCTTCCCGTGCAGTGCAGACGTAGAGCTACTGCTGGAGTCACAGCCCTCAAGTTGTGTTTTAACAACCTGACCTCAGTGGATCCTGTGGTCCAGAAACATTCTTCACCATGTCCAGAGAGAACAAGGTGGTGACCAGAAGCTGCCTTGGGCTTCCCACCCTGTGCTCACAGCCTCATCCACATCCAGGCTAGGGGCAAGCTGGAAAATTCCTCCAGGTTTTAAAAACAATAGTTACAAATGTACAGCTCCTTCTGTGCTGTTACCAGCATAAATCAGACATGCTTGTGGGAAGAATGCATGTTAAATGGCAATTATTAATGTCAAAGAAACAATGGTGGGTGCTTTGTGTGCTGGAGTCCTCCTGCCTCTCCCATGTGGGACCTGGCCCAGATTAGGTGCATGGAGTGGCAGGTACTCCCAGTGACACCTAGGGGCCTGAGTGCCCGGCCCCAGGAAGCTCCAGGCTGCATGTCCTAGGTGCTTTAGTTCAGAGGTTACTAGATAATAATGAGTGCTTTGAAAAGTTTCCCTGACCTGCACGTACGTGGTGCACAGAAACTCACATAGCCACACCACATACACATAAAACAAGCAAACAAATAAACGTATGTTTCCCCGAGTGTTCCAGCACCCTGTCTCACTGCCGTCCTTTCCACCCTGCGTCTCTTCTGGTCACACAATCGTGATGGTGATTTGATTTTTATCCCAGGAAACAGTGGCCAATTTCCAATGAGGTGCCCTGAAGAGGGCAACTGAGATGGGCTTTCTGCAGCAGCTCTGTAGCCCTAAGTGGGGTCTGTGTCTGGAAAGGGCCCAGGGCTGGAAGGAGGACTTGTTGAACTTGGTGTAATGGGGAGGGAGGAGCTGCCTCTTTCTGTCAGCTGAGTCGCTGGAGAGCTACCAGCCGAAGTGGGCTGTGTGTACTAAGCCCTTTGAGCAAATAAAGAAAACACTTGATTTATTTGCCAAGTGGCACAGATCTTACACTTAGTAAAGACATTCAGTCATAAATGAACTAATTCTGTCCCCAGAATATATATCTGTCATCAGGCAGGTTGGTTCGGAGGGTCATTCTCAGGATGTCCAGTGAACAGGGAAAGTGCCCTTGAGAATGGCCAATCTGTAAACATCAGAGCTGCCAGTTCCCTAGACTGGAGACAGATGGGTGTGCCTGGCTCTCTTCACATGGTGACAGGTCTCTACACTTTGCAGAGGGACTGTAGGCTGTCACCTAGCAGGAAGGGCACCCGTACTGGAGGATGCAAGCTGGCTACCTTTTATAGATTTTATTTTTATTTTTTAAATTGTGTATGTGTGCTGGCTGCTTTTGTAGAAGACCTGAGTTCAAATCCCAGCACCCACATGGAGGCTAACAACTGTCTGTAACTCCAGTTCCAGGGGATCTGACACCCTTTTCTGTCCTCTGCAGGCATTGCATGACACAGGTACACTTACATACATGCAGGCATAACACTCATACACATAGAATAAAAATAAATAATTTTTCTTTTTTTTTTTTCTTTTTGGTCTTTTTGAAACAGGGTTTCCCTGTAGCCCCAGCTGGCCTAGAACTCACCATGTAGACCAGGGTGGCCTTGAACTCGCAGAGATCTACCTGCCTCTCCCTCCCAAGTGCTGGAACTAGGCATGTGCCACCTCGCCCAGCAAAAAATAAATAAATTTTAAAAAATTGTATGAGTGTGTGTGTGTTTGCTGGGACTTGAACTCGGGTCCTCTGGAAGAGCAGCATGTACGCTTAACCACTGACCTGTCTCTTCAGTTTAACACAGTACAGAACAGAGATTCCAGTGCATGGAGACTAACCAGTCAGGTCCTTAGCTCTGAGGACTCCCCTGGGGAGAAAGGAGCCCAGCCCAAGGCATCCCGACTTCCTTCTCTTTCAGGTACCAGCTCACTTTGTCATCCAGCCCTTCACTGGCCTTTTTTTTCAGATGCCTGTGGAGTCCAGGAATGGGCTTTGGAGTCCCCCAGCCTGGTCTGGATTGTTGGTGTCCCAGGTGGGGATGGCCCCATGGAGCTCAGGGATCTGCCTCCTGTCAGGGCCACGCTCTGGGTATCTCCCACTGAAGGAAGGAGCAGTGGACAGGATCCTGGTGTGAAGACAGCTTTTCCCCCTGGCCCAGGGCCCATGGGCTAGCTGTGTATTCCTATGACTAGCTGCTCTCTTCTGACTGGTACTTCCCCAGAGGGCTGAGACAGCATGCTGTGTTGGGCTCCATTTGTTATGAAGTCAGCTAATTAGGGGTCTGTTCCCTGGCACCCAGACAGCAGTTCCTGGGTATGTGTCCATAGGGTCTCAGCCCCAGCTAAGGATTGGCACTGGGCAGTAAAGGGCTGATTCCTCTAGTCTTGGACCTGTGAGAATTTCTCCTGTCAGAATGTGTGACACCCAGGGGAACTGCTTCTAATATGACTTTGGGTGGCCAGTAGGACCCAGGGAGCTTTGGCTGCCTGCCTGCCAAGGATCAGGGAAGCCTGGGAGCCGTCTGTGGCATATGCCGGGGTCTCAGAAGAGGAGCACAAGTCAGGGAGTATCTTGTTGGCACCGTTCTGTGTCTTCCAGCAGCCGAGACCTGGGCACAGGTCCTTGGCGGTTTTGTGGCAGCCTCTCCAGGCCCCGAAGAACCCGTGTGTGGGGATTGATGGGGACAGCAAGTCCTAGTTCATGGGAAGGGCTTGATGCTAGATTCTGCCTTCTGGGGAGGCACCAGGGCACCTTCGCCTACAAAGTCTGTGAGTGGACGGACACCCAGGCTGCCCAGTTCCAAGCTTCAGCAGGTCTCTCCAGGTATGGTTCTGAAAGTTTCCTCATAACTAAAAAGCAGATTTCCTATCCCTGGCATGGGGACCATTTCCGCAGCCTCTTGGGCACTTTTCTGTTTGGAGAGATACTTGCCTGGGTCCCGAGTATCCAAAACGCATCCTCCTTGGATGGGGCTTTTTACCTTGAATGTACACTGAGACTTTTGACCCCTGGCTCTGTCATAGAACACAGCAGTTCTCATCTGTATAAACATCATGGAACTGACCTTTGGCCGGATTGGCTCATGTTTCCCTGTAGGGGTGGAGGGTGAATGGTCCAGGCTCTGCAAGGCCACAGGCCTGTGCCACAGCTGCCCCTCTCCCCCATGGCCTGTGTGTGAGTATATGAGGAGATATTCAAGGTGAAATCTCCCTGGCAGGCAAGTAGCGGGCGGTGTGGACAGCCACACAGATGTTTTTACCCCAAAGGTGTAGCATTATTTGTAAGAGCCAAGGGTAGAACAGTCATGTCCGTCAACACGCAGGCTAGCTAGCAAAATGCAGTCTGTCCATCCACTGGAAATTGCTTAGCCATACAGATGGACTCGAATATGTCATAAATAGGGTTTGAAAACATACCCGGTGAAGTAAGGCAGACACAAAAGGGTGTGATTCCAACCATACACAGTGCCTGGATTCAGACAGAGGAATGGTGGGTGGGTGTTATATGAGAACAGTGTGTTGGGGAAGATGAGAAGGCCTCAGGGTATAGATGGCGGTGATGGTTATGTGTGTCATGCCATGACATTGTATGCTTATGAATGTTGGAAAGGACACCGATGACCTTCTGTGTACTCAGCAGAAAGCACGGTCAGCTGCACATGGCCGTTGGCCAACCCCTGCTATAGACTTGTGCTGCTCTGTTAAGTGTGAGATTGGATCCAGGAATAATTGAGCCTGTGAAAGGGCCTCAGAAGGCAGGTGAGGTTCCTCGGATGGGTGGCAGTTTTCCGTTCAGCTCAAACTCCAAACTCAGGATCTTGTGTCTCTTGCAGGAGTCTACATAACTGCTAGTTTCTGTCCTCATAGTGATCCCCTGAGCAGTGACAGGTGTAAACAGCATAGGCTTTGGAAAGCCCGGCATTTAATTATGTCACATCCATGAATTCCACACGTATGCACATTTGTCACTGGTTGCGTCCTGGCCAGTGGCTCTGTATCTGGCTTGGTGACCTCCACATCACCCTCATGCCTTTGAACCTTTTCAGGGAGCGCATGGAGCTTCTGGAGGAAGCCAAGAAGATGGAGATGGCCAAGTTCCGGTACATTCTGCCTGTCTATGGCATATGCCAGGATCCAGTTGGCTTGGTCATGGAATATATGGAGACAGGCTCTCTGGAGAAGCTGCTGGCCTCAGAGCCGCTGCCGTGGGACCTGCGCTTCCGCATTGTGCACGAGACAGCTGTGGGCATGAACTTCCTGCACTGCATGACCCCACCACTGCTGCACCTTGACCTGAAGCCTGCCAACATCCTGCTGGATGCCCACTACCATGTGAAGGTAGGGACCACATGAGCCCTACCTGGCTGCGGGCAGCCAGTACACAGGATGACTTGGGAAGGAAGGGATCTGTGTCCAGGTGGATCTGGGATTCCCACATGGAGTTCTGGAAAAGAGATGCTGCTTCTTAGAGGCAAGAACTTGAAGTCAGGGTCTTTTTCAGCGTGAGAGCTGAAGTCCCCGGTTTGTAACGTGTTGTAAATCTACATGATGTGTAGTTGGAGGTGGACCTCTGGGACCTTCTCCCCCTGGCACTCTCTAGGCTCTGAGAACCCTGAAGCAGATTAAGGACACAGGGATCCGAGGCTTACTGTCTTGTGAAATCACAGCAGAGACTGCGCTTTGGACCAGTGGGACCCCCGGGTCCTCTGGTGAAGGGGTGTGTTTGCTCACACTGGTCTGGGCTGTTGGCGGGGTCTGCGGTATTCCGGACATTTGTCCCCTCATTCCCCTGTATGCTGCCATATGTTTGGGAGAGCTGTGGCATGCTCCCAGGAAGACACTTGACCCTCTTCCCGAGCGCCGTCCTCCGTAGTACAGCCAGGAGTTGAGATGGGGTGCATCCTCCCCAACTCGGTACCTGGTGGAGAGAGGAAGTAAGGAGACACTACCTCTGGGTGTCATCCTGGTCAGTAAGGGAGAGTGCTGATGCTGTGTTCTCCTCCACTCTGGGGGTGCTGAGTGACATCATGGTGCTTTCTGAAGCTCATCCACGTGTCTTTCAACACTGGATGCTCACCAGGCACTTAATGCCTAGTGAGAAAGTGAGGGCCGTCCTTAACAAACGGAGCCGGGCCCCCCTCGGCCCCCCTCGGCCTCCCCTCCAGGTCATTGTTCCCTCAGCCTGACGCAGCTTTAGTTCCTGTAGTGTCAGTGTTGGTGACATGGTGTCAGTGGTGTTGGTGTCAGTGTCGGCCGGATGGCTAGTTGGGTGCTGTAGAGCCCTGGTCAGAAGATGGTCCTTCAGCATGCTGAGACTCAGAGCCACCCCCTCCCCTGATCCACCCTAAAGCCCTGCAGAAGCTGCTTTTTGTGAGTTAGTCACGGAGAACCTGAAAACAAACAGGAAGGTGCTTACACAACAGCGTTTCTCTGAGTCTTAGAAACAGCCATCTGGGACAGGCAAGCAGGCCTGCGGGGAGGGCTAAGGGTCTGTACCTCGATGCAGATAGGGTCCTCAGGTTTCTGGGCCCTTTGCAGTTCAGACTTACTCTGGGATCTTGAGGCAGGGGCTGGGAGCTGTCATTCTGCCAGCTCCCCTCCCTGTGCCCAGGAAGACACTGCTTCTCCCCCTGGTTTGCCAAGTGCATTAATTACCCGTAACATTAAACTATTACCTGATGTCACTCTGTATTAAGTACACTAACTAGCTCAGTTAGAACATTGACTGTAAACAAGCCATTTCCAGTTGGAGCGCAAGCTCTTGGTGTCTGATCCCAGGCTGCAGCCTTGGAGCCAAGTGGCCCAGAACAGACTCTGCTCATCAAGACACTAGAGCAAAAGCCCTTCCTGGGTGCAGAGAAACCTTTTTCTCTAAGGCAGCAGGGACCTCTTTGGTAGCTTGGTCTAGCTGTCCCAAAATAGAAGGGTTAGGCTCTTGGGGGGCCCTGTGAGCCTTGAGCTCTCTAGGAATGACTGAGTTCGATGCCAGTGTGAGTGTTTGAATCATGAGGCATCAGTGTTCATTCGTGAGAGTTTGGGGAAGAGGCCATTTCCTGGGCAGGAAGACTGAGCATGAGATAGGCCACCGTCCAAACTCCCACATCCTGGTGTGCATGCAGTCTCCTACAGAGAACTGAGGCTGCGGCCTTTTGCCAAGTGTGTTTTGAAGTGGCTGGCTGTCCCTGGTGTGCTCTTGAGGTCCCCAGCTCTCGGTCTGTCTGCATTTCTGAATGAAAACATTTCAGGCTGCTGGTAGTTGTTGGACTGAAACTGTCTGCCAAAACTTAAACTGGAGAGGTGCAATGGATGAGTGTTGTCTCTTAACTTGGAGCAGCATTGAGGGTCTACAGGACAGGGTTGATGGCAGCTGGCAGCGTCCGTCCCAGAGTTGTGGGTTTCTCTTGAGGCCTTGGAGGCTATGGAAGCAGACTGAGGTTAGGGCCTACTGGTCAGAGACAAAGGGCCAGGCCTGGTCCTGGGGGTGTCTTCCTGTCGGCTCCCACAGCCGTCCTCCAGGTCCCTTAGTCACTGCTCTGTTCTTTTTGCTCTGCTGCAGTGATGACACCAGGCCCGTAGGCTCCCTTCATGGGCACGGCCGGCCTGAAAACAGTCCTGACTCAGCCCATTTCCTGTTGCTGCCTGGGTGTGTTTGAAGAGGAGCCCAGGAGTGAATTAAAAGGCTTGAGGGAGAAGGGAAAGGGGCTGTTTCCCCCTTTCGTGCCGAGTTGGTGCTTAAGCCCACAAGGTACTTTAAAGGGTCTGGTTTGCACCAGGAAAGGGGTGCTCCCTGGAGGGGCTTCCCAGGTCTGTGGCTATGGGGACACCTTTACCCACAGGGGCCTATCTCCTCCATGGACTCGGGAAGTAGAGGTGGGGGTGTTCCACAGTGGCGGGTGTCTGGGGCTTCCTGAGCTGGGGCCTCATCACCAAGGGAGGGGACACCATGTTTGGAGGCGTCAGCGAGTGTCTGTAGATCAGTGAGCCCAGTAAGTGGTGAGGTGTGTGTTTTGCTTGCTTTAAAGGCCTCTGAAGACAAGTTGGGCTTTAAAGGACCTGCTGGCACTCGTAGTCTCCACAGCTGGAAGGTCGCACAACCGGCCTGACAGCAGACACCCCAGCTTTTCACGTGGCTCCCTTTAGTGGCTCCCTTTACCTGAAAGCCCAGGGCTGCTTTGCCCTTTCTGCTGACTGTAGCTTTCCAGCCACCAAGGCAGATATGCAGACTTACAGGAAGCAGGACTGACTGGCTGTCGCTCTTGGGTTCTGCCAGTGAATTCCTTCCTTTAAGCATTATCTCTTCCCTGTCCATCAAGTTTATGGATCATGATATCTCTAGGCCTGTCTGTCCTGCACCCCTGTGCTTCCTATTGGCCTGGGGCTAGGCTCCCTGGAGGACTAATTCGCTTTCTGACTGCTATGTTACAGATTTCTGACTTTGGGCTGGCCAAGTGTAATGGCCTGTCCCACTCACATGACCTCAGCATGGATGGCCTGTTCGGCACCATCGCCTACCTCCCTCCAGAGCGCATCAGGGAGAAGAGCCGGCTCTTTGACACGAAGCACGACGTATACAGGTGTGTGACACACCACCATGCTCTGTGTGTCAGGCTGGGGGCTCTGGGCCTTGTCGTTGCTTCTTGCCCTGAACAGCAAGGCTCAGGGTATCAGTCACTCATGGGGTTTAGTCCACATGCAGAGAGTGTGTGCATCCTGGGCTTGGGGGTTATAGCTGTGGGTACAGGTTCCCCAGGGCACACGAAAGCCCCTTTCCTTCCTATGGGCGGTGCTGGCTGAGGAGATGGTTCCTGGCTAACGCCAGGTAGACGTAGTTAAAGCAGCAGCTGCCAGCCCAGCACTGCACACGCTTTGGCATTGTCGTGAAATGTGGGCTTCATTTCATGTCAGTAGAAGCCGCTGCTTTGAGTAGCCCACGTGTCTGTATGTGTGCATGTGGCTCTGGGCTGCTCGAAGCTCAACCTCCTTGAACTCTGAAGTGAGCAGCTCACACTTATAGGTCACCTGCCTCTGAGGCAGAGTCCCCAGGATCTGAGTATCTAGAGAAGAGCCCCCAGGTATACACCCCCCCCAGAGAGCAGCCCCCAGGACACACATATACACACACACACACACACACATATACACACACACACACACACACATATACACACACACACACACACACATATACACACACACACACACACACATATACACACACACACACACACACATATACACACACACACACACACACATATACACACACACACACACACACATATACACACACACACACACACACATATACACACACACACACACACACATATACACACACACACACACACACATATACACACACACACACACACACATATACACACACACACACACACACACAAACACACACACAGGCCTTTTCAGACTGGGAAGGGAAAGGTCCTAATCACAGGGACTTCTCAGAGAGGATCCAGCCCAGAGCATCCGGCTCCGCCTTTGTCATCCGTCCTGGCTGACTGGTTTGACAAAGGCCATTGTGCCTGTGTACTGCTGGGCTCTTGAGCGTCTGATGGCCCTCTGGGAACTAGTCAGGACTTGTAGAGTTTGGGGAGAGAGGTACTCTGTTTATTTTAGAGTTGGCTTCCAACTTTTGAACCTATAGGTTCCAGCTAATTCTCAATGAGAGTTAGGCTAAATTTTTAAATTCTTAAAAAATATATATCAGATTGGCTCCATTTTGGTGAACCTAGTTTATATTATGCAAACATATGTATCCCAGGAGTCGAGAGGGTTTGGGGCTCAACTGGCAGAACCCTAGCGACCCTCTTACAGGAGCATTTTGGTCAGAACCTGACTTTGGATCTTGAAGGCTTAAAGTTACAGTAGAGATGAGGGGTTGGTGAGAACGCCTGGCATATGTCCAAGTACCTACTCTGCCTCCCTGTGTGTGAGATGGCAACTCAGGCAATCTCCCTGAGAGCTCAGGGTCCAGGTGTAGACGGCCTCCAGACACCCCCTGATGTCCGAAGGCCGGTGCTTAGCTGGCTGAGTTTAGAAGGCAGTGAGGAGGTTTCCCCAGACTTACTGCTGTGTGTGAGGAACACTACCAAACCCACAGCTCCAGCATCCCACTGACACCTGGTTTCTCTTTCCAGCTTTGCCATTGTGATCTGGGGTGTGCTCACACAGAAGAAGCCGTTTGCTGGTGAGTGGGGGTGTCCTTAGCCTTCTCAGCTCCTCCATAGGGCCTGTGGTCTATGCTGGGCTATGGATGAACCTCTCAGAGCCATCCTTAGGGCAGATGCTTGTCCTGTTTTGCACTGTGCGGAACCCACATTGGCAGAGCCCTCCTTGGTGTCATTTATATACAGGGAGAGACAGATCAACTGTGGCCATGTTCATAAGCCAACTGGTATTTTATGTGTGGTAAAATATATATAACAACAGATACATGTTTCACTATTTTAAGTGCATATATCCTTGGTAGTCCAGCCATTCATTGTTAAACAAACATCATCACTAACTAGTTCTGGAAGGTTCCCATCATCCCAGCAGAAACCCTATCTCTGTTAACTGGGCCTGTGGTCCAGCCCTTCCTCTCTCCCCTGCTTCCTCCCTCCCTCCCTCCCCTTCCCTTCCTCTCCTTTCTTTCCTCTCTCCCTCCCTCCAAAAATCATGTAACATATATGTGACAGAGCCTGCTGTGCTAACCGTTCTAAACATCCAGAGAGCAGCATAATAACATTCATGTGGCTACAGCTGCCTCCAGCACCTGCCCCACCCTGACTTCTGCCTGTGGCATTTCAATACCCCAAGTTAAGTTCTTATAAAGCTTCAGTAGCTTCTAGCCGCTTTTGAAAAAAGAGTTCCTTTCCTCTACTAAGATTTCTGGATACTCCCTATGTGGTATATAACCAATGATATTTGAAAATACAGATCATATTCAGTATGTGTGAGGCCCTGGATCTGGGAGCCCATTGCTGGTCCAGCCACAGACTGAAGCCAGGCATGAAAAAGGGGCCAGGGTAGGGGGTAGATCCTCAGCATGGCCAGACTCAGAATATTCTGGGAGCATCTCCCAGCAGAGTGGGTCAGCCGTGTGCCTGCCCCCATTGCTCACCCTCTCCCCTCTGACTCCCCACATGGAGGTCCATCGTCTTTTTTTTTAATGGTAGACTGCCAGCTGGACATAAAATTGATACCGGTGGCTCAGGAAAGTGGTGTTAAGTGTCAAGGATCAAGGGCCTTGACTTTTATTACCTTGTAATTAGTGGGATCAAGGTGCAGGCCTTCCAGGGTGTGGTGTAGGCTCCCTTGGGTCATCTTTGGCAGCAGAAAATCTTCTAGTGTTCACTTGACTTTCGTTGGGTTAGGACAGGCTGCTGGGTTTGGAAGGCTGGGTTATCAGGGAAATAGCCTGCAGATACTGGAGAGAGAGGCATTGCACAAACTTAACGGGAAAGAGCACAGAGCGTCAGTGTGAACCCTGGCAGCTGCCGGGGACTTTGGGCCAGTTTTCCACACCTGCTGATGGGTGTGTTTGGAACACAAGGGTGGGGAACAAATGGCTTCATGAGCTGCAAGCAGTTCAGGATGAGCACAGCTCACGCATTGAGGGTCACCTTGCGCCCTTCCCAACCAGTGCTGACGCTGTGGCTAGCACATTGATAATAACCAGTGGCAGAGCCCTTAACGTTCTCATTGTCCTTCAGAAGGTCACAGTGCCGGGAAGCATGTAGTTTTTACAACTGGGAAAACAGAGTGGTGTGTCCTGTAAAGAAACTTTAAAGAAAGCCCCAGGCTTGGAAAGGGAGGGTGGTGATCTCTTGGCCCTTGGCACTTCTCCAGACTTGCTCACTGGGGAGCTATCTCCCTTCCTGCGGAGTCCTGACACGTGTGCCTTCTTTACAGATGAGAAGAACATCTTGCACATCATGGTGAAGGTGGTAAAGGGCCACCGTCCGGAGTTACCTCCCATCTGCAGACCACGGCCCCGTGCCTGTGCTAACCTGATAGGGCTCATGCAAAGGTGCTGGCACCCAGAGCCGCAGGTGCGGCCCACCTTCCAAGGTGAGCGTCCCTGCCTCTCTCATCGCTGCCGTGTGATGGTTCTGCCAGTGACATTAGACCAGGACAGGGTTGAGGGCTGAGCTGCTCAGGTGGGGAACAGTACAATAGACCAATGCAAGCCCAGCATAGACAGGTTGGCCCAGCCCCTACTTTAGCTTGTCCAACACTCAGGGCTGGGATGGGTCACTGGAACCAGGTGGTCAACACTGATGTCCACCTCTGCTCCCAGTGGGCCGCATTTGCTGTCCAGGGAGCTTGGAACCCTGTACTTCAAGTTTAGATACAATGGTTTGTCTTTGTATCTTGAGTGGCTAGGTGTGGCTGGTGGACTTTCTCTTGCGGTCTTCTCTTCTTGGACAGATGTGTCTTTGGGATGGGCTTTGATGGAGTTGACGTTCACATATGTAGGGAGCACACCAGTGGACTGGGGCTCACCTGCTGGCCGGCCCTGGTAGTTCTGTCCTGCGTGTCTGGCAGGTTCCTGAGGATGCCAGACATGTCCTTTGCGGCTTAGGGGGTGGGTTGCCACTGCTTCTATCCCCATAGAATGGCGTTAGGAGTCATAGACACATCCAAGACAGCCCGCTTTATTTTCTCTCTCAAAGAAATTACTTCTGAGACTGAAGACCTGTGTGAAAAACCAGATGAAGACATGAAAGATCCAGCTCAGGAGCCAGGAGAGAAAAGCTCTCTAGCCTCCAAGAGCGAGGTAAACACACCGCGTCTACTCATTTCCTTTGTTCTGGTGGTAGAATTTTCCAGTCCGACCTCCCCTTCTGCAAATTCCTCACCATTTCCCTTCTGAGCCTGGTCTGTTCCTTCCTCTGGAATTAAAAAGTTGTCTACCCACATCCTGCTTGAGTGTGTATGTGAGCAGCCTGGGCACTGGACCTTGACAGGTGCTCATGGAACTGTGGTGGTGGGGAGGGAGGGTCAGAGGGCCCCAGTCCTGCTAAGCCCAGGAGAGTGGAGGGTGGACAGTATGGATTCTTCTTTACCCCTGGGCTAGAGGTCCTGGCCACTTTTTTACTCTGTTCATAAACAGCTTGTGTTATAAGTGCCACTTGGTTATTCAGAGGTAAAGAGGAGAGGTCTGGGAGTTCCAAGGCCCCAGGCTAGCTGAATGCCTCAGGGTAATAATTAAAGCGGACTTGCAAAGCCAGGTTGATAAGGGAGCTGCATAACTTGGGGTTATCTGGCATTAGGCAGTTTCTCCCAGGGAGATGCATAAACATTTATGGGGTAGGTGAGAGTTGGGGACCAAGGTTGAGGGGGCAGCCTGGGCAGACCCAGTCCTTGGATGTGTGATAAAAGGCAGCCAGTAAGTGGACAACGTGACTTAGTATACCAGGCACGACCACGTCCAGCCATTCCCAAGAAGAGTGGGGCTTAGAGCAAAAGCAGGCCACTTAGTCGATAGAAATCTGCTTAACTTGTAGGCGCTGGACCCTTCAAAAGCCTCCCTCCCCTCATTCATACACAGCCCTGGGTCAGACTTACAGAAGTCACAGGCTTTGATAGCAGAGACTCCAGCCCACCTCCTTTCCTTTGATTTCTTGCTGGATGGTCTGCTGTGGGTGGACAGTGTCCAGCCATGCCTGTTCTGTGCTCTTGGCTTACCCATGGACTGCCTTTGATTTGGATGGTGCCCCATGAGTCGGTGGTACCCATCACTTCCCTCTTGTTGAACTCACTCTTGTTACAATGTCTTTGTGGCAGGGAGACCTGGGAGGTGTCATTACAGCCCTGAGTTTCTGGTCTCCCTGGTGCTGAGTAGCCACAGGACCTGCATTTCTGCCTGGTGGCTGATAGGTTCTCAGCCTTTCCCTTCCAGCCCTGGCTTGCGGCTGAGAGTAACAGAGTCCTCACCACCTGCCTTTTCATCTTGCAGGCCAGGCCCGGGTCCTCACGCCTTAAGCGTGCCTCTGCTCCCCCCTTCGATAATGACTGCAGCCTTTCCGAGCTGCTGTCACAGTTGGACTCGGGGATCTCTCAGACCCTCGAGGGCCCCGAGGAACTTAGCCGCAGCTCCTCCGAGTGCAAGCTGCCGTCGTCCAGCAGCGGCAAGCGGCTCTCAGGGGTGTCCTCGGTGGACTCGGCCTTCTCTTCCAGAGGATCCCTGTCACTGTCGTTTGAGCGGGAGCCTTCCACGGGAGGTGAGTGACTGAGAACTGGTGAGAGCTCGCACGGGGCCTCAGCAACCGAACCCTCAAGCACTTGCCCAGATGGCTGCCTGTGTTCTCTCCTGAGTTTTGGTGTCCGCAGTGTAGTTGGTACTCGGAGCACAGTTGATACAGTGTGAGGGGGACAGGCCAGATCACCTGGCTACGCCAGCCCTGGGTTAGAGACTGGCCTCAGGTCTGCAGACTGCAAAGCCTAAGTTTCATCCGGTGAGACCACTATCTAGAGGCCTTCTCTTGTGGGTGCCAGCCCTGTACCCCATTCTCAGACAGTTCCAGGTCACCCTAACTCTAAGCTTTTGCGTTTATGTGATGTCTGTCCTGGGGACTCTAACACCTGCCGCTCTGCAAGCTGCCTCTGGGAACCCTCTCAGCCGGCCTCATCGTTACGTTAGATTTGATGGCCTTTCTTTTTATGATCTTTTTTCACACATAATTTATTTCAGGGTGGGGCATGTAGGTGCCATGGTGCGTGTGTAACGGTCACAGGACAGCTTGCGAGAGTTCTTCTTCTTCTACCATGTGGGTCCTGGGACTTGAACTCAGGTTGTTGGGTTTGTCAACAAGCACCTTAACCTGCTGAGCCATCTTGCTGGTCCTGATGGTCTTTCTTTCTGGAAGGGACATTGCCCCTGTCCTGCCCCAAGGTCTCCTTGACTGCCCTATCCCTGGCGTGCCGTGACTGCTCCCGAAAGCATGTGTATTTTCACCTAGACTGTGAACCTGTTGTCTCGGGGTCAGCGGGGTGGGGGTACTCTTCTGGAGGAGAGGGCGTGGGATCTTACCAGCCTGTGGTGACTTTTTCTGTAGAATGTAGGGGTAAGCAGACATTGAGGATTAAGATTCTAGAGTGGTTCACAAAGGCAGGCAGAGAGGACCAGTTTTGACGGGAGCCAAGTGGTGGGCAAGAGAGTGGAAATAGGACGGCCAGTGCAAATTGACAGAGGGACACCTTGGAGACCTTATCTAAGCTGCCCAAGGGCTCCCCAGATCTGAAATACCCCGGGGTGGGGTGGATGCTTAAGGCCTGCAGGTGTGCATCCTGAGTGACTTTGCTCTGAATCCCTCAAGGTATGGCCCACTCACTAGACTTGGTCCTCGTAGCCTTAGAAGCCCACATCCTGCAGCATCAGTCTGGCCCTGACTGTGGGGACTCTCCCTCTCCTCGTGGGTCGTTGGCCACCGGTCCACGAGGACAAAGGGAGCAGAAGCGACGAGCAGGGTCAGGACCACTAGTGAGCACTGACGGAAGATCCGCGCAGGTTCAGTGAAACAGCTCCAGACTCAGTGAAACAGCTCCGTTTATTCAGTGGGAGTAGGGAAAATATAGTGTGGAGGCAGCAGCCAAAGCTTCAGCTGATAGGTGCTCATAGTATGCTTTATTTACGTGTGGCAGTGGGCTCCTATCAGGCAATGCCTGATTATCATACAGAAAAAACCTGGGGGTAGTTTTTACTCCAGGTAACTATTGCCAAAGGTCATGTTCCAAATAAGGTCAGGCACCCGTGCTTGGCGGCACTTTCCAGGTAAGTCAGGAAGAGAGCAGGAGGCCCTGCTGAGAAGGGGAGTCCTTCCATATGGCGCCGAGCCCCTTAGAGCTATCCCGACATGGAGGACTACAACCCTAGCAGCAGGGTTCCCAACACCTGACCTCTAATGTTTCCCTCCTCTCCCGACAGATCTGGGCACCACAGATATCCAAAAGAAGAAGCTAGTGGATGCCATCGTGTCAGGGGACACCAGCAAGCTGATGAAGATTCTGCAGCCCCAGGATGTGGACCTGGTGCTGGACGGCAGTGCCAGCCTGCTGCACCTGGCTGTGGAAGCTGGACAGGAGGAGTGTGTCAAGTGGCTGCTCCTGAACAATGCCAACCCCAACCTGACCAACAGGAAGGGCTCCACCCCGCTGCACATGGCCGTGGAGCGCAAGGGGAGGGGCATCGTGGAGCTCCTGCTGGCCCGGAAGATCAGCGTCAACGCCAAGGATGAAGATCAGTGGACTGCCCTGCACTTCGCGGCCCAGAACGGGGATGAGGCCAGCACTAGGCTGCTGCTGGAGAAGAATGCCTCGGTCAATGAGGTGGACTTTGAGGGCCGGACGCCCATGCACGTGGCCTGCCAGCACGGTCAGGAGAGCATCGTGCGCACCCTGCTGCGCCGTGGTGTCGACATGGGCCTGCAGGGAAAGGACGCCTGGCTGCCTCTACACTACGCTGCTTGGCAGGGCCACCTGCCCATTGTGAAGCTGCTAGCTAAGCAGCCGGGGGTGAGCGTGAATGCCCAGACGCTGGACGGAAGGACACCCCTGCACCTGGCTGCCCAGCGGGGACACTACCGCGTGGCCCGTATCCTCATCGATCTGTGCTCTGCCGTCAACATCTGCAGCCTGCTGGCACAGACGCCCCTGCACGTCGCCGCGGAGACTGGCCACACTAGCACTGCCAGGCTGCTCCTGCACCGTGGTGCTGACAAGGAGGCTGTGACCTCAGAGGGCTGTACTGCCCTGCACCTGGCTGCCCGCAACGGACACCTGGCCACTGTCAAGCTGCTTGTGGAGGAGAAGGCCGATGTGCTGGCCCGGGGGCCCCTGAATCAGACGGCACTGCACCTGGCCGCAGCGCAAGGGCACTCGGAGGTGGTGGAAGAGCTGGTCAGCGCAGACCTCATCGACCTATCTGATGAGCAGGGCCTCAGTGCACTGCACCTGGCCGCCCAGGGCAGGCATGCACAGACTGTGGAGACTCTGCTCAAGCATGGAGCCCACATCAACCTGCAGAGTCTCAAGTTCCAGGGCGGCCAGACCCCTGCGGCCACACTCCTCCGGCAGAGCAGCAAGACCTAGCGTGTAGCTCCGCTCCGTGTGGGCGTCTGGTCTCTCCTAACCTCGTGTGCTCTGGGGACAGAGGGTGCTGTGCTGGGGCACTCGCCCACCCTGTTGGTGGCTTGCCCAATTGTTGACCAAGTGGAGGCCATGGACAAGGCAGGCGGTGCAGCTGTCGGGCCAGGTGGTGCCACTGGCAAGGCCCCTCCACCTGAGGGCATCCATCAGGCACTGGCTGACCTGTGGCCAGCCAGCACCTGCGATGTCAATCGGGGCGATGGGTCTGTGGCATTTCATTGTGGTCCTGATGGGCTGCTGATGCGGGTCTTTCATGACAAAGCCTGGACAAGACTGTCCCCTCTGTCCTAGACCAAGCCACCTCGACATCTTGGCCGAGGCATGAGAGGGGTCCTGCCCTTGGTTTTTCCCACTGAGCAGGTGGAGAGGATCCTGTCTCTGGAGACTTAGTTGGTTGACACGCCAGCTTTGCCTGAGACAGATGAGGACGTGCCTGGCACGGCCAGTTTAATCTGGAGGGGGTGTCTGTAAACTCAATGGGGCTAGCTTCACAGAACAGCCTTACCAGCATTGAGATCTGATTTCATTTGTTCTGTGGTGACCGCTAGGTCACCATGCCCTTCCCCCACTGCCCTCCTGGTTACTGAGTTCTCCTTACCTAAAATGGCTTTGGAAGCATCAGAGCTGGATATATAAAAATCATTGAAAAATTCTTTATAAACTGAGTTTTATACTGAAAATAGTTATTTAGTCAAACTGTTCTTTCAGGCTCCTGTTTTTTGGCAAGGCGGTATCTCCTGCCAAGGGCTTTTCTGACCTACCCTGTGGCAACTCTGGGTGTGCCCCAGCCGCAGCAGTTGGGGTGTGCCTTGAGGTGGCCATAGGAGGTGGTTGCAATCTCAGGTGTCAGAGAATTTTGGGTGTCAGAGATTTGATCAGCCTCATCGCTTGTCGGTATGCCTGTCCCACCTGATACGTTTTGAGCATTGTCACTGTAGATGTGAGTTGAGAAACTGACCTTGTATTCCAGTCTGTGCTGTGTGTGTGTGGCCTGGTGTGTGGCAGAGATTGACATTCATGTATTGTGTACGTGGATGTGCATCGTGGGCAGAGTGCTGCTCTTTTATGACAGGAAATAGGTAACTGGAGCTGGCTATGTTTTAATACGCCTCAACCTGCTTTTACTGTCTCCCATTCCTGCTGTGTAGAACACAGCGACCACAGGAAGTCTGCAACATTAATAAAGGATTATTCACTTACTTCTGGAAGTTAACAAGACTTGGGTTTTTTTTGTTTTTTTTTTTTTTAATAAACAAGCTTTCACCCTCTGATCCCTGAAAGCTAGAGGTCTAAGGCAGCAAGCAGCCTGGGATTTAGAAACATCACACACCAAAGCGGCCCAGGGCCTAGGAGATGCAGGAGGCAGAAAATGTCTTCCCTTCTGAGTCAGGCTCTTCCACACCTGGATCCAGTGGAGAGGTACTCCCAGCACCAAAGTCTGCATTTCTTTTGTTTATTATTTCCATGTGTTAATTTTATGTTTGAAATAATTTCAGGTTACAGAAGTGGTAAGAAGCCTGCCTAGACTCTAGGCTTCTCGTTTAATTACGTTTGATCTCATTTGCCTGATCCTCCTTTTGTTAACCCTCCACTCACCTTTCTTCTCAGCCTTCCATCTACCCACCATGTGTCACGTGGCGTGTCCACCCACCCATCTACCGAGCTACCCGACTCTGACCACCCACTTGTCTGCACTCTGTCCAGCCTCTCTCTACCTATCCACCCACCTGTCCACCTGTCTGCCCAGCCTTCTGCTCCCACTCTGTTTTTCCACCCCCTGTTACATCTCCGCCTTCAGTGCACAAGTCCTAAAAACAAGTACTTTCCCTGCCTAACGGCCACCATCACCTGTCACGATCAGGAAGTCAGTGTTGGTACGATACTATCTAAAGCACAAATCCTTTCCTAATACTTCAAATGGCTTCACAAACATCCTTTATAAACAAAACCAGAAGGCAGGCCAACAAGTGGCTCCTTTTAGCCCCCACCAGTCCTAGATTCTGTCTAGATTCCTCCTGTTTAGTCATCGCATCTCTTTTTCTTCCGGCTCGGCTCTTGTCATCTGTCTCTCGTCTTCGACTTTGACACCTGAGCTGTTCAGCATGTAGGTTTCTCTGACTCTCCTTGTGATGCGACCCTGTGTTCCCGCCTCCCTGTTTAATTTTTCCACTGATAGTAGTGCCTGGTCAGGATGCCTGTTTAGCCAGTGGGTCAAACTCCGTTACCCCTTATCTTGATGCTCAGTGATCCTTGAGTTGGTCAGCTTAAGTTTAGGGCCTCCACCACATGCTCTCCCTGAGTGCCTTGACTCACTGAGGCACTGTGAGGCTTATGTTACCTATACCCCTCCCTCCAGAAGCAGCTATTTTTGCAAGGAAACCCCTTCCCTCTGGCAGAGATCCCTGTTAGAAAGCCAGATCCAGGTGCTGGCTATTTCCACCATTACTGGGGTGTCCTGATTTCTAGGCCCTCAGCAGAGAGACTGGGAAGAATGTGTGTGACTTTCATGTGTATCACGTGCCATTTTTGTGTCTTGCTAGATCAAGGCCCTCACCAACAGCCCCAGCACCCCAGGATTACAGAGCGTTCATCTCAGTTCCCCACCCCAGTGTGTCTGCTGTTCAGTGCGGTGGAGAGCTGCTCTGTCATAGCCCACTCAGCTGCTCAGATCCCTGGCCTCGCAGAGCGATAATTTTTTTTTTTTTTAATTAAAAAAGCTGCTCTATAGCAAACAAAACAATCACCAGAGAAGGCAAGCTGTAAATTGGAAAAGAATCTTTGCTAAGCAGAATGATAATTCTTTGTGCCTCTTTTGGGTCAGGAATGAAGGCTCAGGAACTTGTCTTACTGCCCTTTGGCTTAACCCCCACCCGTCTCTGGGTGCCTACTTAGTCTCCCTCCCTGCCTCCAGGCTGTGGTAGTGAAGCTTCTGCCTCCAGCATCCCCCTTCTCTGTGCCCACTCTGGCCCTGTTCTCACTTCCACTTAGGAGCAGTTTCCTGGTTTGAGGGTTGCATTGCTCTGCCCTTAGACCCTCTGCTTCAGGAAAGTGGGCCCTGGGTGTCTGGGGACTCTAGGCTTCCCTGAGCAGAGTGTCCTGGGGAAGCCTGTGCTCATCCCTCCCGGGCCCCAGAGACAAGCAAAGGCTTCTGGCTCAGCGAGCGATGCTGTCTCAAGGCAGTACGGTGCATGGAGAGATAGAGGAAGCCACCTGATGGCCTCCCCTGGCTTCTGCGTGTGCGCACACCCACACACCTGTGTAAGCACCACACACACAAACACTGCACATACCCACACAGGCAACACCACATGCACCCAGTGACTCTAGCCCCTGAACTCTGCCTGCCGATGCTGCCTAGGCTGACATGACATTCCGGTTCTATCAAGGGTTGCTGGGACCCAGGGTCCTTGTCCCAGGCAGGACAAAGCCACTGAACACAGGCATAGAACCAACAGTCCCCACTCTAAGTGACCACTGCAGGCTTTAGAAGTGAGAGCATTCCAGAGCTTCCTGGGCAGTGCCCTGGGCAATGATGAAGACCTGAAGCTGTTTCCAGGCCTATGGCAAGTGCTATCATTTATGTTAAAAAATGTCTTTTGAAGCAAGGAAGTTTAAAAAGCCCCTCCAGTGCTGGATTAAGGAGAAAGGGGGCAGAGGTGAAGGCAGACTTTGGGGTGCAGGTGGGATTCCCTCTGCTTGCTGTCACTCTGAGTTTGCATGGAATGCTGGCCATAGCTCTTCAGAAAGATGGTCCCAACAGCATGAGATGACCCTGAGAAGTGACAGACCTGGGTACAAGGACAGGAGCCCCAACCCCAGTTTTATGTTGTAATGTCTGAGATGTTGCCTCTTAGAATGGAGCTTGGGGGTTTCAGCAAACCTCATCCTGTGTCAACCCAGAAAAGTGAGGTCCCTTCCTGGTCTCCTCTTCTTCCTCCTGCTCCTCCTCCTGCTCCTCTTCCTCTTCCTCCTCCTCCTCCTCCTCCATCTCCTCCTCCTCCTCCTGTTCCTTTTCCTCCTCCTCCTCCTCCTGTTCCTTTTCCTCCTCCTCTTCCTACTCCTCTTCCTCCTCCTTCCCCTCCTCCTCTTCCTCCTCGTCCTCCATCTCCTCCTCCTTCCCCTCCCCCTTTTCCTCCTCC